AAGTGAATCTAAGATTGTAATAACAGTGAGTTCTAAGGTTTGACTTGTCAGCCTAAGATAGCAGACAGCTAAAAAGGCACTGAGAGGCTCAGTTAACTATACTGTTTCTGTACACTAGTTTTCCCATATTGGTATTCTTGAAATATGTTCAAATAGGGTTAGACAACATAATACCCATTAGGCTGTATGACATCAGACAGATATAGAAGAAGAAAGAAAAGAAGGAGGAGGAGAAGGAGGACATGATAGAGGAAGGTCTGTTCACATCCCATAAATTGGGGGGGGGGGGTGTTCACCTGCAGTAATCATAATACAGTACAATAAAATTCCATACATGGGGGCATGATATAATATAACAACTGTATGTCTTTGTATAAGAGCATAGAAGAAAGTGTATATATTATTCTGGGTGACTGGCTGTCTGGTTAACAGAGATTAGGACTGATTCTAAGCCCACGTGTCACACTTCTTAAAACTGAACCCTAATTATGTACATTAATTCTTCATTAGGTCCTTAAACTTCTGTATTTTCCATATAGTTAAAGCTAAGCTTTTTCCAAAACCAGAGCACAACTGTCTGAATCTTATGGGATGGTCCCTTTTCCTGCTGTTGCAAACCAGTTATGTTTTTCCAATCTTCCTTTGAAAAGAGGTATAACAGGTGAAGAAGAAATTACTGTAGAAATTACAGTGACTAATTTGGGGGCCATATATGTTTGCTTGTATGTGTGTATGTGTTTATCAGGATATTTTGTGTATGATTTTTGTTTATTGTAAGCCATCTAAAATTGCAGGATGAGATAACATATATTTAAATATATGTGATATATATATGTATCAATCAGATCTTAATGGATGTAATTGCTCAACTTATTTAGAGCAGGCTTCAATATTAGTGCAGAGTTGAAAAGAAGGTTAATTTTAGTTTTAGAAACCAACCCTAGCTTTCCCATGCCAGAAGCAGAAACATTTCCTGAAAACTGCACTTCTCACTTAATTTTGCTGCTTTCAGTTCCTCTCTGTTTTCTGATATATTTTTTTTGCAAGCCTATCTTCCTCTTGGCCATTCCTTTCTCTTGGAGGGTCCTTTGCTTGATGATGTCATCACAGTTCTATTTAGAGCAGGGGTATGCAACTATGGCTCCTGAGCATGGCTGGCTCAGGAATTCTGGGAGTTGAAGCCCACAGGTCATAAAAGAGGCCTAGTTGTCCACCTCCCAATTTAGAGAAACAATGTACCACATTCTCCAAAGACAAGAGTTTAAGGATTTAATTCTGCAGGTGACATCTAATGAACTTTTAGAAACACTGTGAGATTAAATATTAAATTATGAACATTAAATGGATACGGTGGTAGAGGAATTTCTTTTGCAGGTTCCACAATGCTAATAAAGACTAATCATTTTTATTTGGCATTCTTAATCTGTTTAGGTAAAACTCTGAGTTGTTTTGTGGCATGCGTTCAATTCCACCATGTGAAAAGCAAAGCTATTTCTACACAAGCTTTTGAATCTGACTGTTTATCAAATATTATTGTTGTACTAAACATGGGCATTGGCTAAAGTAATTATACGGAGAAATTGGAAGTGTTATATTATTCCAGGTGTCAAGGAATTGTTGTTGGATATGTGTGATTTATCTGTTTTGAAAAAGACAGTATTTTCTGCTAATAAAAGAACGCAATAATATGAGTTAGTATGGCAGATATTTGAGGGTATCTTATAATATCATACTGTCTTATAATTGAATTCATTAATAAGTCAGTTACTATTGATAAGTATAAACCACACAATATATTTTTTATTCTTTTCTTTTTTAGTTTGTATTTTTCAAATTTTAATTTTTTTCTTTAAGATTAAAGTTTGTTTTTAATCTTAACATAAACTCTCACTAAATAAATAAAAAAATCTATTTCTACACACTATAAATTGGAATGAAATTTTAATATATATGTGTGTAATATATATATATATACAAAAGTAACCAAACACACAATCCCCATATATATATATATATATATATATATATATATATATATATATATATATATATGAAATAATGTTAAACTTCATGTTCTGAAATAAGCATGCAGTCCTATAATTACTTATATGAGAGTGAGTGTCAAACCTAATGGGATTTATTGTAAATAGATATAAATAGATTAACATTGTGAGGTTTTCAATAAAAGTACAAGCACATTTACTTTAAAGGCAAATTTATCAACTGATTGGTGAATTTTAGATGATTAATAATTAAGTTATAATTGATTAACTAATTCCATAACTTTGCTTATTGCTAAAGCCTCAAGGTTTTCAGTAATGGTGAAAGAACTGCTTGATTATTTAAAAAACAAAAGCTACCCTAGTGCTGGAAAAGAAAGTCATATTTAATATTTTCCTAGACTTGCATCTAGTCAAGTTGTAAACTCAAGCAACAGAGATCAAGGGATGAAATTTTTGAGATCAAGAGGAAAACCAAACACCCCCCACCCCCGCTGCCAATCCTCAACAGAAATGCTGACAACAATGAAAACCTCGGACAGGAGGAAGAGTGCCGCCGGGTGGGCAGGCAGGTGTCTTGCTTGGCTGTGGCTTGGGGGGCTCTTTTTTCAGTGCCATTGTAACTTCGAACAGTCTCTAAGCGAACTGTTGTAAGTCGAGGACTATCTGTACTTTATCATTTTTTTCCTTTTTTTTTTTTGGTCATCAAGTTTTTGACATCTTGCTAAGCGACTGGTGGTACTCAGATGTTGCCATATCCTAAAAGTGGCACAATGGGTGAAAAGGTTGAAAAGCCCTGCCCTATACAACCAATGATGTCTGTGCAGCCAGCAGATTTCAAAGACTAGCACAAACAGATGCATTCCTTGATAGACGCATGCTTTGAATTCAGGAATGATGGCCTACATTTTATTCTAGTAACAGTATGAAATATCATATCTAAGACATTGCATTGCACAAGGTTTTCAGAAAACAGACAAGAAAGAATGTTAATTCAAAGAAGAATATTAATAAAGTCTATGTTTCCATCATTAACATACTCCAAATGTTACTGAATTCTGTTAACAAAACAGAATAACTTTGTAAAGCTTTTTTATCAAGCTGAATTTTAAGAAAATAGGAATAAATGTAGATTATTGAGACAGAGAAAAAGCAAAGAAAAGAAATATTAGTGTAGGATTTATACTGTAATACAGAAAATTCTTAAAGCGATGAGATAGATTTGTTGTTATAGAAATGGCTAGTTTATACTATTATGTTAAAGTGAAAATTTGAGGTTTGTTGTTACTGTTTTGTTCTACTGCACTCGAGGGATTTGGAAGTCAACACCTTTTTTTCCCTCTTCTCCCTTCTTTTCTACACTTCTCCTTTCCCCTTTCCCTCCCTTATTTTTCCTACTATTTGATTTTGCATTTTTGTATTTTATATTATAAATTAATAAAACTATAAAATTTGAGACAGAGAAGCTGTCTCTTTAAAGAAAAGCCACATTGTTTGATCAGGCTTATTCTGAAGAAACAGTGTCAAAATCTTGTGGCAACATATTACATACAACATCTCTCCCAAGGCCCAGTGATTAATATTTATATGTTACTTATATGTAGGTCTAAACATATGTTGTATATAGTATGTTTAAATGTGTGTTATGTATGTGTACACTTTGAGAGCAAGCAACTAAATTTCATTTTTAATGTGTACCATTGTGCTCTCAGTAAAAAATGACAATAAAGGTTATCTATCTATCTATCTCATTTCATCATGGCACTTGCCATCTTTTTTTCTTTATTTTTCTATTAATTTTATTGTATTTTTTTGTTGCTTGTTCTGAGACACCCAGAATATCAGTAGTAGTAATTTTTAAGCTGGAATACAGTAGTGTCAGTTTTGTTACCTCTAAAGATTTATTTTATTTATTTATTAAAGTAAAGCCCTCTTTTCATTAAAATAATCCTATAGATCAGGGGTCTTCAAACTTGGCCCGTTTATGACTTGTGGACTTCAATTCCCAGAATTCCTCAGCCAGCATGCCTGGCTGAGGAATTCTGAAAGTTGAAGTCCATAAGTCATAAAACGGCCAAGTTTGAAGACCCTTGTTATAGAGGATTGTTACAACTGAGTCCCTGGGAATTGGATAGAAGACAACAGCTTTTACTTACAATCTCTTCCTATTTTCATTTTAAGTCTGTGAACGGTTGGTTTACACATCAAACTAAACTGTATTTTGTTTATTTTTGGCTTAAGACATTGTGAATTAAAGACCATGGTTGTGCCTTAACTAATTGTGGGTAACTAATAAATCTTGCTTAGCCCAACATATGAACAAAATCTTCAACACTATCCAATTTTTATATCCAATTGGATTAAAAGTCTCATTTAAAATGCAAACACTTAAATATTTTTTAAAATTTGAAGAGTTCAAATGCAAAATTGCTAATTTTCTAGGTACTTTGCTCTTATGATGAAAAATGGTGAGTAACATCTGTTGTTGTTATAGAATTCAGAGTTTGTTCATTCAGATGTAGAGATGTGTCCTACATCTTATCTAGTGAATTGTCCCAAGTTGAGACAGCATTTTTTTCCATTCTTTAAAACCTTTCAGCCAATTTTAGTCCTCCCATTATCTATGACCTCTTTGCTCTCATTGATTGGATTTGGAGTCTTAAAAATATCAGGAAACAATCTTAGAGAAAGCCAGGGATATAAATGAAATAGATGAGAATCACAGGCAATTTTTCCTCCTTTTACCATCAGCAGCATGGCCATATATGGCCTACTTGTCCGGGACAGCAAATAAATAATGACATAATAAAAAGGCTGGCTTTGTAGGATTTAGTGAAAGGAAGTTGGGCAAAGTGAAGTTCCACAAATTATAATGCTACAGAAAGAAGTCTAAAGAGAAGTAACAAGTCATTTTGTTTCAAATTTCAGACAGGAAATTTGATATGCAGAACAACTTACATTTTGGCTTGCAAATGTTGATCATGGGGTGATCCAGAAATAAACTCCAGACTTCAAAGCAGGAGAAAGTTCAAAGCTGCTCTGCATTTTATCAACACAGAGAGACAGGAGAGCAATGCTTCCAAAAGGGAATATTCTGATTTAATAGTCCATGAAAAAACAAGTCTGAAGTAAACAATTTTCTACAAATTACAAGGTAATCATGCATGGTTTAAGATTATTATTTAGGTCCAGGATTAATATTGTATGCAATATGCCTAATTTTTCTTCTCTCCAAATGCTGAGGTGGAATGAATTAGCTAGGAGAAAGAATTTACATATGCAGTAGCAGGACAAATGTCATACTTTTAATATATATATTATTTTGAATTTAGATTACTTTCTATAATGTACATATCTATGGGCATTTTTTAGGAACTACTTCTGTAATATATTATGGGGAATATGAACGTCTTCCAGTTACTAAATCTATTTCGCAGACAAGAGGAAAAGTCATTTTAAGTTACAATGTATTTTATTCAGATAGTTTTAGCTCTTTACATCAATGGTGTAGGTGAATGGATGTAGTGATAAGTGGTATAATAGAGCAAAAAACCTGTTGCACCAAGTGATGTGCCAACTTTACTTCATAAACAGCTGTTTAGGCAGCTGAGGATGGATGGAGTTTATTTACTCAGAAATGTTTCATCATCAGGAACTGCCCTACTTGTGCTGACCCAACTTGTAAATATATTTGGCAGTTCTTGATCTACAAGTTATTCAGTTCATCTGAAGACATTGGATTGAGAAATCTGCAAATTAATGTCTGTGTTTGGAAATCAAATGCTTGGAAAATTATGCCTTATGCAGTGAGTAGTCTTGGACAATAAACAACAGCTTACATACTAGCCTAGTTCATATAGTACACTAAATCAAATTTGGTTTATTCAGTTTGGTTTAGTATATGTAATCCCAAACATTGTGGTTTATAAACCTCTGCTGTCTTTTTATATATTATGAAAACCTAGTCAATTATAAATTAGAGTTAAGTAGTGCATGGCTTTGCACCATGTATAAAGCAAAGCTATACCAGCAACAATAATAAGCTGGCTCAGGGGGAATGTAAGAAAAGATAGGAAAACAGAATTGAAAGTCAATTTTACTATGCTGATTTTAGAGTAATACAAGAAATTACATCTAAGTAAAGAAATGAGTGAGATAGAAATGCACAAATCTTGTGCTTATGGAATGATCTCCAATCCTTGTCCAATCTGCAGTCAAAAAGCAATGCATTTCATTCTGATGTACATGCAGGCACAGTGAATCCCTCTAAAATAAACACAGAAGTTCATTCAATGGTTGTAGCTCTTTGGGTGTATTAGAGTTCCCACAACATAAAGAAATTGCTCAGTATATATCAAGGTGGAATCCTATATTCAAGTGAACAGAAGAGGTTCCATTGTTATTAAAGAGAGATGTGAGTATTTCATAGAAAGCAGGTTGCAAATTAAGCTGTTGCAGAAAGAGAAAGGGGAGAAGGATATTAAATGCACAGCATGCTGGCTGGAGAATTCTAGGTGTTGAAGTCCACACATCTCAAAGTAGTTTCATACCAACTGTGAAACTTTAAGGTTGTAGTATCATTGTTGTCCTGAAGGCAGGACAAAAGCAATGGGTGGAAACTAATCAAAGAAAGAACCAACCTAGAACTAAGGAGAAATTTCCTGACAGAATAATTAATCAGTGGAACGACTTGTCTCCAGCAGTTGTGGATGCTCCAACACTGGAGGTTTTTAAGAAAAAATTGGACAACCATTTGTCTGAAATAGTATAGGGTTTCCTGCTTGGGCAAGGGGTTGAACTAGAAGACCTCCAAGATCCCTTCCAACTCTATTAGTCCATTATTCCTTATTCTGTGATATTTTGCTATCTCAGGAGCTAGATGACTTCACCGCCATTGAAGAATGTGTATCAAAGAATTCTAAGAACAATGTCAGCCCATCTCTGTTAGCTGAAGCTGAAGTGTTAAGTGGGCCATGCAGCAAGTCAACATACAAGCAAGTCTACAAGATAATAGAGGAAGAAGAAAGAATTCAGGATTTTTGAAGAGCCTTGTCAAAGTTTAGATCTAAAGCCCATAGTGGTTCTCAACCTTTTTAATGCCGCAACCCCCAACCGGTCATAAGTCGAGGACTACTCAACCGGTCATAAGTCGAGGACTACTCAACTGGTGCAGCACCGTTTGCAGAATGGGACTTTTGGCGGGCTCAGCAGGGCAGAGACAGCCTGGACAATTCCTATTGGCTTTTGAAAGCCAATAGAATTAGACTCTATTCAAGAGAGTCTATTCTATTGGCTTTCAAAAGCCAATAGAATAAAAGGGAGTAGCACAGCTAAGGAAAAGGGGAAAAAATGGCGGACTGCGTTGTTTGGCGACCCCCATGAAATGGTTGTTCGACCCCAAATGGGGTCCAGACCCACAGATTGAGAACCACTGCCATAGACATATTTGTCCAAAACAGAAAGAGTTACTGAGTTGATGAAGCTTGCCACAAAGGGATGAGTCAAAATTCTAACATAATGATATGACAGCTCCCATTATCCCTTTTTGCAGCTTCCATTACCTTTTGTTTATAGCAAAATCAGCTGTGGATGCTGGGAATTTTAATTCAGTGGCACCTAGGGGCTATGCCACTCCTCCAAAGTTTAGTTTTTATGCCAAACTCAGCTTTGTCTCCAAATCATGTTATTTGGATTGGAATACATTTAAAGCCACTATGCTGTTTGGTGTGCAACTTTTCCAGAGTATCCAGATAATTGTTTTATTGCTGTTACAAAATAGCAAGCAACATTGTACCTACTAAAAGGAAAGTTTTGCTATGCAATGCTTTTCACACAGTGACCTGCTGCAAGCTGTTTATTTTGTTTTATGTGTCATATGAAATATTTGGCAAATGCCAGTTGTAACCTGATCCAAGCAGAATATTTTTAAAAGTGACACAACCCTAGAGACGATGAGTGGGAAGGAAAGAGGAAAAGTTGATTTGTGATAGCACTAATAAGAGGCCCCTTCTGATTCTGTAGAAAGCATACAATCCTCTGAAAATATCAACTAATGGGAATAATCTGTTTTTATATTTTATTTTTTAAAAAATCTGCCAATCTTTTAATATTTATTTCTTCATCAAAGTGCATTTTCCTAAGCTTATAGTAGTCATTTTTCTCTCTATTTCTGTGCCTTGGGAAGAAAGCTTGTGTGATGACATCAGTGGTGGGATTCAAATATGTGAACAACCGGTTCTCTATGTGGATGCCACTTCCAGAAGTCCATTCTGGGCCTGGGCAACAAAAAAATAGCTACCAGTTCTGCCCAAGTGGGGTGAACTGGCTGAATCCCACCACTGGATGACATCCTTCAAGAATCTTCCTTTCAGGTTCCCAGAAGCTTTTCAACATTTGAGAGAAACATCCATCTAATTTACAGAGTTTATAACAAAACATGTATGATGGTAAAACTGACCGTATGTCTGTGCCCTTTGCATAAAAAGCAGTGAATGATGAAAGAAAGTAGATAAATCCCTTCTCTGATTTACTTTTTACATACTGAAACAGGGTTGTGAATGCAGAAAATAGTGCAAAACATCAGAATCCAGTGCAAGGGAGCAGGGGATTATTCTCCCTAGTAATACACACACGGTCATACACAAACACTCTGAATAGGAAAACTGTGTTATATGTAACTGGGACAATGAATGCATAAAATACATATGGCTATCACATTGCTTCTAATTTGGCACTATGGGTTTATCCCTGCTGATTTATTTATTTAACAAATGTATCTGATTGCCCATCTATCAAAGTACTATCCAACAATCTAGAAAACCACACCAGCGCAATATTTGCTACTTCCATTGCCAATCCTTGTCTTGCTTCTGCAGCCACCAGCAAATGCCACCATCAACCACTTCTATAATATGAAATGGGAGGTGGGCCAGTGAGGAGGCAAGTTTTGATAGTTAGCTAGATTAGCAAAATGCGTTCCCAGTTTGTATGAATAGGTTAAAAAAAAACCTGCCTAACAGCTGGCTAGAAACGGAGTGGCTGTGCAGCGAATCAGAATGGCAAAGAAAGACAGCTAAGCCCACATGCAAAAGAAACCCATCTAATAGCTGCCTGGTGTAGTGCCAGCCATCTTGACCTGATTAGAAAATAGCAATTCTACCCCTTCACATGCAACTTTTCCCTGCCTGGGAAACAGCTGCCAGTGTTGAGAAAGGAGGCAGTTGAAGAAAGGGAACCAACTTCTACTGTCTGGGCTCCAATCCTATGGAAATCTGGGTGCTTTAAAGATCTGGCTTTCCTCCCTTACCTTCCACCTCTTTCAGCATGAGAATCAGTTGCCTGGGTTGGGGGGAAAGGCAAGTAAATGAGGAGAGCCAGTTTTTAATCCAGAAATTGGCTGATTTATGAGTTATGAGAAACATAACTGGTTTGAAAACACCTGAATTTCCCTTTGCCCAAACCAGAAATGTCCTGAAGGGTTAGGGTTAGGGCTAGGGTTGTAGTACCAGAAGTAGGGAGAATGGTATGCATATCAGATTATACCCACAATAAAATTGCCATGGGGAAAAACATTGCTTTAGCACTGGAACAGTTAAGGACAATTCAGAAGGGTCCCGGATATAGGGTGGGGCTAAGATGAAGGCATAGATAAATGAGGTTTCCAGGACATATTTGGGGAAAGCCCTCAATCAAGAATGAACTTGCTCCAAATCTCAAATGCTAGTTTCATATCGATCAGGCCCCCAAATCCAAGAACAATATATAGTGATTCTCCCAAGCAGATTTCTTTATTATTTCATACCTATAGACAGAATCTTACCAAACTACTCTATTTACACAAGACTGTACTTTAGGACAGTAGGGCCTTTCTTTAGCCTCTTTGTCTCACACGAACTATCTGAACGGAGTTGTCTCTTAGTCTGAAAAACATGCTCTCCCTCTTGGAAAACCAGACCAATACAATTCACCACAGGCACACTCATTATGGACAGGAAGATTACCTATCTGATTTGAGACCCAGCATTCTTTTTCTAGCTATTTCCAGTCAGACCATATGCATGAAAAACTCAGAAGAAACTGCTCTGAATACATTGCTTCCATTAAGAATACTTCCATATCCTCAAGACATACTGGGGTACTTTTGAACTAGAAATGTAGAGTAGAATTATCACTTACTATATGACTCATCTAGGCAACACAGTCATTTATTTGGTCTAACCCAATGATTTTCGTCACATGCCTTCTGTTTTTCCTCAGGTTAAGTTCAGGCATTCAAAATACAAGAGCTTGAGAATGCAGAAGTATCTGCCAGAGAAAGATATCATTTGAGTGATGTCAGTGGGGATTAACGTTTTACCAGAACCATCACATGGCTTGAATGCCTGAACAACAATTTGGACAACGACAAAACTGATATGAAGGCACTGGGAGAACAAACTAAATAATAGTCCAAGTTTTGAAAATACATTTATTCATGTTACCTTTTAATTATTCCAAGAAATGTTTTGATAAACCCAGTCATTTAATGAATTTTTATGGCCAATTATAGAGTTGAAACAGGATTTCCCCTAACATAATCAAACATTCTATCTGTTAGATCAGACTAATGAGAAGCTTTTAAATCAGTAATGTAATTATCCCAATAACATCCTTTTTTAGACTTGAAATTAGAAGCAGATAATATATATTGCATTGAGCTGAAAAAAGGTGGGCTATAAATCAAATGAATAAGAAAATTAACAACAGCAATAATAAAAATAATAAAAAACATGAATCAATCAGATAGTCATTTTAACTACTTATAAGTTGTACAAGTTTAATTTAAAAATTAAAAGAATAAAAGAGAAAACCATATTTATTCCAAAGAAGATAATTGTAAATTTAAGATGATCCATGAGGAGCATATAGAAAAATCCTGTGTCACTTGTTTTTTAAATGATATGTCAAGAAACATTTCCAAAAGTAAAAATGTTTGGTCATGATAAAAGATGGGAAGAAGATTGAAATTAAATGCATTTAAATTACATTAAATTGTCTTTAAACTAATTAAATATAATTACTATGATGAGATAAAGTTTTAAATCATGTAATAATTTCTCCCCTTTTTTATGTCAAAGGTTACCATTCAGTGGTAATTAATTTTTGGGGGGGGAGGAAGGGTCACAGATGATGTTCTCCCTGAGATGCCCACAAGTTTTAGGTTCAAAATCAGACATGAAGTCAGCCTTTATCTGTTATCACATTTTCAGTGCCTGGAAACTGGGGAGTGAAGTATTGCTTGTGAGTCCATGTGATTCGCCATGATAAGATCTGTTACTTGTATTTATATGCATTGCAGGGTTATTTTTAACCAGCCCTTCTGACTGACAAGAAAGTGGAAAATGACAACGCAAGTTACCGTAGCAAGAGCAGGTACGATTGGACACGAAGAATATAGCCTGTATAGCAGCATGAGTGAGGATGAACTTATTCAGATGGCCATTGAGCAGAGTTTGACAGAAGATCCTGCTGAGCAAATAGCTGCACAGAAAACAGTTACTGCAGCTCCACCTCCCAGTGAACCTTACTGTCAGAACTTCTACCTTTATCCTTGGGAAAGGTAAGCAAGCCAGGGAGAAAGCACAAATGAGAGAAAACTCAGAACAGAATGCTGCACTGTGTCTACACCTCAGTGTTACATCTTTTTCTGATACTGTTTTCTTGAAGCTTTGTGGAACTTCCCCAATAAATATTAAGCCGAATAAAGCAATTGTTCTAGGCAACAGTTATAGAGGGGGTGGCAGCAAGATAGAGGAAAAACTCGTGTGCCACGCTTCTTTTAAAATGGCCATTTTCTGGTCCTTTGTGACAGTTGCTCATTCTGCTTTAGAACATGTCTTCCTGGGTCACCTTTGATTTCAAATATAATTTTTTCTCCAACCAGTTCTATACAGGTAGTCCTCGCTTACAACAGTTTGTTTAGAGACCATTCAAAGTTACAATGGCACTGAAAAAAATGACATGCCTGTTTTTCACACTTATGACCATTGCAGCATCCCCAAAACAAAATTCAGACCCTTAGCAACTGACTCATATTTATGACGGTTGCAGTGTCCCAGGGTCATGTGATCCCATTTTGCAACTTTCTGACAAGCAAAGTCAATGGGGAAGCCAGATTCACTTACCAACCATGTTACTAACTTAACAACTGCAATGATTAACTTAACAACTGTGGAAAGAAAGGTTGTAAAATGGGGCAAAACTCACTTAACAAATGTTTCACTTCGCAGCAGAAACTTTAGGCTCAATTGTGGTCATAAGTTGAAGACTACCTGTACTGACCAGAATATTTTCAGAGATGTTCCAAGGATGTTCAATGTAATGTGTAGCTTGGCCCTGAGTTAGGTTCCAGATGACAAAAGGCATGGCTCTTTCTCATGCAAGTATATTCTCCCCCACTCCCCTAATTACAATCTTAGGATTCTTCCATAGTCACTCTATCTGAATCTGGATTTCCTTTGTTATAAGAAAAGCTAAATTATTATTCTTCTCACTCAGGTATGAGGGTTTACAACCTTCCAGGTTCTGTTGAATTACAACACTCAGTATACCCCCTATTGGTCATACCGACTGGAACTGCTGATAGGTATAAATCAGCACATATTATGGATCACACTTTCCTTATCTCTAAAACCTTTACTTGCCAGGTTTGCATCCATAATTAATTTTAAATCATCCATTTTCAGTATAATTCTTCCATATTCTGTCTTTCCCCCAAACATCATAGTATAGATTTCTAGAAATAAAAAAGTATGATCTTGCATTCAAATACAACTAAAACACAACTTTTTAAAAAAAAAAGCCCCAAGCCATCAGTTTGACATGTCAAACTCACGACGTCACGTGATGTCACGCAACGTATCAGAACAGTTTTGCCATTGCCGGCAGTGGGGTGAGCACAGCTTCCAGATGACGCGTCTGGCCCACAAGCTGGCAGTTTGATACCCCTGCTCTTGACAAACAGTTCTGAAGTTTAGGGAGCAGCTACCAAAAAGTCTTCCATATTCACATAAAGATGCTTCTCAAGCTGAGGGACAGAGAGAGAATCTGAATACCCAAAGATAATATAATTTTCCAAATTGCCTGTTCTGAGATATATGGGCAAGACTCCAATGCTCCCCATAACTGTCCTGGTCTAATCTGATCCCTCAACATTTGGGATCAGCTAGGTTTTAAGTAACAATGTCATTTAAAGTGGTAAACACACATGTAGACCTAATTTATGATCTTCTGTTATTGGCAGAGAAGGAAAGGATGGTTTTCTCATCTCATCTCATCTTGGATTAGATGAATGCAGGACTATTGACTGTAAAGTGTCATCCAGCATACCTGAAGCAGTAGGCTAGTTTATAGACTGAGAACAAAGTTCTATCTTTAAATAAAGGGAACAGTTGGGTTTCTCAAGGTGATCCAGAGGTAATATTGACTCCACTCACAAGTTGTTTACTCTGACAGAATTTATATTTGACTCAACTCTAGCAGCCTTTATCCAGCTGTCTTGGATCATCATAACAAACAGGCCAATACAGCACCATTAATCTTTACATTTTTCTTGTATGCTTTGCAATAAGAAAATTAGGTTTATATATCCTGTACTATGGGAAAGGAATATCAATTGTCCCTAATCCCTTGCCCAAAGGGATATTTTTGCAGATGAGAAGATAAACATTCTACACCTACCTTAAGAACTCTGTATAGGTAAAATAGATCAATCCCAGGCAAAGTCTCTACTTTAGTGATTCTGAAAAGCATATTTTAGAAACTACAATTTCTATAAAGATACCTGTATTTTTAACCTTATTTTAAAAAATATTGATCTCTTCATTACAAGCAATGAAGGTACTCAACAGTAATAAATATAAAATAAAAAAGGGTGGTTAAGGCACCAGGCTAGAAACCAGGAGACTGTGAATTTTATTCCCGCCTTAGGCTGAAAGCTGGCTGGGTGACTTTGAGCCAGTCACACACTCTCTCTGCCCAACTCACCTAACAGGTTGTCATTAGGGGAAAATAGGAGTAGGAAGGTGTATTTATAAAAATAGTGATTTATAAAAATAGGCAGGATATAGAAACAGAAACGTGGCAGGAAAAGACCTAGAGGTCTATCGAGTCTGCCCTTTGAGTTTTTTGTTTTCATTTTAATTTATTTATTATTTTTAATTATTTTTATTTTTTATTTTCTTTTTTACATTTTTGTCGGGTGATGGACATGTGTTTATGCCAAACGTGTTTAAATTCAGTTTCTGATGACTGACTCACTACCTCCACTGGAAGTTGGTTCCAAGCTTTCACTGCTCTTTCTGTGAACTAATACTTTCTAGCAGTGTTTTTGAACTTCCCTCCTGTCAGCTCGAAGTTATGCCCCGTGTGCTTGATTTTTTTGCTTAATATTAAGCTATAAATACCTAAAATATAATTACAATAAAAATTATTTAAATGAATTAATTTTGGGCAGAAGTTACAGTTTGCCACTTTCTGAAATATTAGGAATACAGGGTCAAACATAGTAGTACTTTCTGTAGGCCTCACCGTAAAATAAGTTAAATTAAAACACATGAATAATTGATTAGTTAAGAAACATATAGGCAGTTAAGTGAGTAGCACTATCCGGTAACACTTAAGGAACAAAAGCCAGATTCACTTAACAACTATGTTATTAACTTAACAACCGAAGTGATTCACATAACAACTGCAGCAAGAAAGGTTGTAAAATGGGGCAAAACTCACTTAACAACTGTTGCGTCCTTGGCGGGAAAACAGACACGAGAAGCAGCTGGAGTTCTCAGGTTCTTTTATTCAGCGTTCAGCTTACAGGAAGATGGCTTCAGCTTCAGCCCAAACGCCTCACAGCCTCTTATATAGGCAACTCCCGGGTAAATGGGTTACTTTTCCCGCGCCAGCACCCGCGCATGCGCACGGCGCTGGCGACAGCCTGTCTGGTCCCGGGCAGCTTTGCACCTGCCCGGGACTGCCTGCAAACGCCCGAGCCGTTTGCAAGGCTCGGGACATAACACCCCTTTCCCCCGGGCTAAAACTACTATCAACATACAACATTTATTTTACACGACAATTTGCTCCCCAGTGTTCCCACTGTTTACTGGCTTCTGTCTTGCCAACAATGTTATGTAATCTTCTAGGTACTTAGGAGATTTCTTTGCTCTCTGTGACCTTCTTAGCTCTGGGTTACTGGCATAAGTCCCCTGACTGGAGGGAGGCATGAGCCTGTTCTCTCTACTGTGCCCTGGTGTCTTCCAAGGACTGTGCCCCGATGCCTGGCCTGCTTGCTTGCCCACCGGGCTCGTCAGGCCAGGGCTTCTGTTGCTTTGTGACCTGGTTGTCCTACCTAGCTGTAGACCCTCAGGCCCCTTGAAGTGATAGCCACTGCTGGGCGTCTCTGTAGAACCCCCTAGGTCAGTCCAAGACCTGTCAGGAGGCTGTCTATTCCCTGAACCCCATTCTGTGTTTGGGCTCGTGTGGGTTTCTGTACTCTCCCAAAACTCAGGTGTCCCCTGATTTGTGCTAGGGGTGTTGTAGTCGGGACTTGGTTCCTCGACTAGCTCTGTGTATGTTTGACCCCCTGTAGGATTTGGGGTAAGGTCAGGCCAACCTTGGGCATTGTGTGCCAGCTCTCTTGCGGGGAATGATTTGTTGGGATGCCCCCGGGTATCCTCCGTTGCTGGAGTGCTGTGTGCTGTGTGTGGAAAGTGAGTATGCCCCCGGGGTAACTCCCTGGCTGGAGTAGGCGTGAGTGCCTGTTGTGTGGGTAAGCTCCAAGACTTCCTTTTCGGAGCAATTGCAGAACCTTGGGACGAGCCGTTTGTGGCTCCCTCAGTGGCGATGGGCAGTAGCTCTTGCCCTTCCCTTTGCTCCAAAGGGTCCCCCTCCCCCCCTGGAAAAGACCCAGGAGTTTCAGCAGAAAAGTCCCGCCTAGAGCGGAGTTGGTCGATGTGCCGACGCAGGACACGACCGTTGTCCAGGGCAACCTCGTAGGAGAGAGGACCTGTGATCCTGGACACAGAAGCGGGGACCCATGTATGACCAGGCCCGTAATTGCGAGCCCAAACCGGGGCACCCACAAGTAGTTGTCTAGGTGCCCTAGGATGTGAGGTAGATGAAGGCAGTCTGTCCGGATGCAACCGGTCAAGTCTCGTAGTAAGTTGGCGCCCCCAACGAAGTTCAGCTGGACTTCTCCCTGTAGAAGTGGACGGTGTGGTGCGATAAGAAAGGAGAAAGTCAGCCAACCTGTGATGCCAGTCCCCGTAGGTGAGTCTCTTCAAGGCGTCCTTTGCGATGCGCACCATGCGTTCAGCCATACCGTTGGTGGATGGGTGAAAAGGCGCAGACGTGGCATGACGAATCAGGTTTGCCTGTAAGAAAGCTTGGAATTCGGAGGAGGTGAATTGAGGGCCGTTGTCGGACACAATGACATCTGGCAGCCCGTGTGCAGCAAAAATCCCCCTCAGTACCTGAATAGTCTTTGCAGTGGTGGTGGACGAGACAGGCACAACCTCAAGCCATTTTGAATGGCTGTCAACAAGGACCAAGAAGAACTGGCCCTGAAAGGGCCCAGCGTAGTCAATGTGCACCCTAGACCATGGGGACTGTGTTTCCTCCCATTTATGCACAGGAGCTTGGGGCATCTCTGGGCGAGATCGTTGGCACATGTGGCATGCGTGTACCTTAGCCTCAATATCTTTATCTAAAGCAGGCCACCACAAGTGGCTGCGTGCAAGAGCCTTCATACGAACAATGCCAGGATGACCCTCGTGGAGGGATTCTAAGACCCTAGCCCTCATTGAGGTGGGAATGACAACTCTGTTTCCCCAAAGCAAACAACCCTGAGAAAGGGACAATTCGTTCCTTTTGGACCAGAAACTCTGAAACTCAGGACTAGGGCAGTGCTCAGGCCACCCGGACAGGACCCAGGAGCGGACACGTGAAAGTGTGTGATCTGTACCTGTTTCAGCGGTAACATCCCTGGCACTAAGAGGAAGCTCGGGTAAGGCTTGGATTGATAGAATGTTGACAGCTGGCGCGGGGTCAGCTTCTACTACTGGCAGAGGCAATCTACTGAGGCCATCAGCATGGCCCATTTCTTTCCCAGGCTTGTGGAGTAATGAAAAATCATATGCAGACAAAAAAAAAATAGACCACCTAAGCATTCTAGGGGAAATGATGTGGGGAGTCTGCTTACGTGTGGTAAACAGTCCCAGCAGAGGCTTATGGTCAGTGAAGACCGTGAAATGCCTGCCATATAGAAAATCGTGGAATTTTTTAATTCCAGCAACAACAGCCAGAGCCTCCCTGTCTATCTGAGCGTAGTTGCGCTCGGCAGAAGACAGTGTTCTGGAGTAGTATGCAATAGGAACCTGAGTTCCATCAGACCTGAGGTGACTCAGGACAGCTCCAACCCCGTAGGGGGATGCATCACAAGCGATGCACACAGGAAGAGACTCGTTGAAATGTGCAAGAACACTGTTAGAAGTGAGCAAGGCCTTGACTTCTTTAAAGCAAGCCTCATGTGCTTGTGACCACAGCCACACAGCTTGTTTGTCTAGTAGCCTGTGAAGAGGCTCAGCTACACTAGCTTTATGTGGAAGAAAAGAATTGTAGAAATTCAGGAGGCCTAAGAAGGCCTGAAGTTCGGCCTTAGACTTTGGCCTGGGTGCTTCTAAAATAGCAGTTAGTTTGGATTCAGCAGGATGAATCCCAGCAGCATCAATTTTGAATCCCAGAAATTCAGTAGAAGGCACCCCAATCTGGCATTTGTCTTTTCTGAGCTTGAGGCCTGATTTCCTGAATCTTAACAGGACAGCCCTAAGCCTTTCAGCTAGAATGTGTGTGGAGTCTCCTGCAATCAAGACATCGTCAAAGTAGGGGCAGACCCCTGGTATACCTCGTAGTGTGTTTTCCATTACGCTTTGGAAAATCCCAGGAGCGACATTCACTCCAAACTGCAGCCTTTTTACCTTAAAGGCTCCCCTGTGGGTCACAATAGTCTGAGCTATGGCAGCATCATTATCAACAGGCAGCTGTTGATATGCTTGAGCTAGGTCAAGCTTTGCAAAAACACGCCCCCCCTTGAGAGAGGCCAGGATGTGACTGACCACAGGAACAGGATAGGCATGTTGCTGCAATGCCTTATTGAGTGTGCATTTGTAATCAGCACAAATGCGAATGTCCCCATTTGCCTTTAGAGGCGTGACAATGGGGGTCTCCCATGGGCTGGAATCAACAGGTTCTAGGATTCCTTGTTGGATTAGTTTGTCTAATTCAGTGTCAATCTTACTTTTTAAAGCAAAAGGGACCCTTCTTGCTTTAATCCTAATGGGAGTGACAGTGGGGTCTAGCTTTAAGGACACAGGTGGTCCTTTGAATGTGCCCAGCTGGGGGCTGAAAACATCTGCAAATTCCTTGCAGACTTCCTGTAGGTCGAGTGTTTGTAAGCTGTTGAGTCCTGTGACGTGTATCCCCAGGGCCTCAAACCAATCGAGTCCTATGAGACTCGTTCTTTCACCCCCTACTACTAACAAGTCTAGTGGACCTTCAAAACTCTTGTATTGCACGTTAAGGGTGGCCTCCCCCTTAACACACACTCTTGAGTTCTGAAAATCAGTTAATACAATATCAGAAGGCCTTAACTTGGCCTTAGTCCCACTACTGGAACAAATCTTCCTAAATGTATGCAATGAAATGATGGAAAGGGCGGACCCTGTGTCTAGTTCCATAGATAATGGAACCCCTTGTAGCTTCACGTTGAGTGACAGCTTTTTCTTCATGGGCTTGTGTGTGCCTGTCCTACAAATGTTTCTACGCGAAGCGCAAAAACCTACCCTATTCTGGCTGGGGACTCTGGTACCCTTCAGGCGTTCTTCTTGAGGTTGTGCCTTTCGTCGGCCCAGACACACAGCTGCAATGTGCCCTTGTTTGCCGCATGCCCGGCAGGTAGCGGAGCGGAACTTGCAGTCGGTTCTCCTGTGGCGACCTCCACAGCCGATGCACTTGAGCGGAGCTGAAGAGCTTTCCTTCTGATTTTCTCCCTTCGCGGGGTGTAGACGGTCGACTTCTTCGTCCGGATCCTCCTCGGAGTTTCGTCGGACGTCTTCTTGGTGCACGGACGCACCCTCTGCACTGCTTCTGATCGGCCGCATGTTCTTGACGGCGCCGCCTGCTGCTTCTTCCGCGGTGGCTTCCCTTAAAGCGTCTTGGAAGGATAATTCTTCCTTAGCGAAAAGTCTCTGTTGTAGCTCTCGATGCCTCAACCCGCACACGAATCGGTCCCTCAGTCGTTCCTCGAGGTCCTTGAACTCGCAGGGCTTGGCGGCCTTCCGTAACGCGGCGATGTACTCCTTGGCTGACTCCCCGGACCGTTGATCCCTCTGCTCGAAGGTGTGGCGCCATGAGATAACGGACACCTTGGGGTGGAAGTGGTCCTTCAGCAGCTTCTTCAGGTCTGCGTAGCTTACAGACTCTACTGGAACAGGTGCTGCAAGGTTTTCTGCGATTTCGAAGGCGTCTTGGCCGCAAGCGCAAAGCAGGGTGGCAGCCTTCAAGCTATCTTCCCTCACTTGGTTTGCCTTGAAGTAGTTCTCCATTCTGGATACGTAGGACTCCCACCGCTCTGGATGTGAGACGTCGAATTCCGCAAGCCTTCCGATTTTCGCCATCTTCGGATCTTCAGGAGACGGGTCTATCAGCCAGCCTACCCCCGAATGCGCACTGGATTGGCGGGCAGCTGCTGAGTCAACACCGTTCCTCTTCCGCCGCTCAGGACTCCTTGGGTAAGCTTACACTTTTTCCTTTCCAGGTAGTGCAAGGCATCCCACCTTCGTCGCCAGTGTTGCGTCCTTGGCGGGAAAACAGACACGAGAAGCAGCTGGAGTTCTCAGTTTCTTTTATTCAGCGTTCAGCTTACAGGAAGATGGCTTCAGCCTCGCCCAAACGCCTCGCAGCCTCTTATATAGGCAACTCCCGGGTAAATGGGTTACTTTTCCCGCGCCAGCACCCGCGCATGCGCACGGCGCTGGCGACAGCCTGTCTGGTCCCGGGCAGCTTTGCACCTGCCCGGGACTGCCTGCAAACGCCCGAGCCGTTTGCAAGGCTCGGGACATAACAACAACTATCTTGCTTAGCAACAGCAATATTGGGATCAGTTGTGGTCCTAAATTGAGGACTACCAGTATTCCAGGGTTCAGACGCCACAATAGAGAAAGCTTCTTTTCCCTTCCCCCACCTCACTTTTTGTGCTGCAGGATGACACTCAAAGGTCAGTTGGGCTACTCAGCCGTAGATAAACTGTGTGCCTCCGTGCTGAAGGATGTGAAGAAAGAGGAGCAAGAAAGATGTAAAAAATGAAGCTGCCTCCATTTAATGTGCTGGTGAGCCAGGCATCCTTAGTTTAGATGGATGAGTCCCCCTTCTCTGACTTGCCTAAATTGATGGCCTTTCGCAATTCAGTTGTATTACTCATTTGGTTCCCCCTTTAAAAAGGTTTTTAAGAGAAAATGGAAATCTTTGTGTTGTAAGGAGACGGGAACAAAATCACTCATATCTGTATTGATTGTGTTTACCTTTCAAGATATTTTTTTTAAAAAAATAATCAATTAAAATACTTGCTAAAGCTCATAATCTAAAGAGTGCTTCCATGTATGCTTCGACCCATCATTACAAACCTCTGATGACTGAAAAAGCTGCATCTGATATAATTCTATCTTAACGGCAACTTGAAAAGATATTGGAAGGTTATGAAATTTAGACCCAACTTAGCAATCTCCTCCTGGCCTGGTTTAGTTAGTTGTGCAAAGCATTCTTCTTCAAAGTACTAAAGCAACCACATCTTTTGCAAGACATACATAGCTACTTCCAAAGCTTCTCTAGATCTCTATCCATATGCATACACACCCCATTCTGTCCCTGGCACTGACACAAAATAGTCCTGCTTACATTCAAAGACTAGACAGTGCTTAAGAAGGAAATGGACAAACTGCTTTGGAGTGTTTGTGTGGAAGACAAAACCTAATACATGCATGCAACTTTTTAAAGAAGCTGCACATTTTCCTGTGATTGTGTGTGCCTCCCATATCTGTACATGATATTGGGAAAAGTTGTGTTGTGTTCATAGAGTTCCAGGCCAATTTATGAGTCTTGGACCCTGAAGCAGTTTCTGTCTACAGATCTGAAATCCTACATACATACATGCAGATAGCAGAAGCAACATTCAGAGTGGTTACACAAGCATTGCCAAAGATGTGGCTGTTTGAGGCTTGAAGAGACAAGCTCTGAAACAGTTCTTTCAGATGTTTTGCACAGCCTTGTCACTGAGAACCAACCTTGGAATTCTCTTCTTTTTTTCATTTCTGAACAAGACTCTCAGGCCTTTCTTCTCTCTGAAGTGAAAATGCCTTCAAGCCCTTTCTCAGCACGCTGTGTGGTAGTGGGATTAATCTCACTGCAGTCATATATGGTCATTTAAATCCCATGACACTTCCTCCGAGGGCCAAAAATAATCTAGGAGTGAAAGAACAGCTGAGACCAAGGCCTGAAAAAGCTGAGACCATCTGCTTTTGTTTAACCCTCAGAAAGTCTACAGGTTCTCTTTGTCTCTCTTCTTCGGTCTCATTTTTCTGACTTCTTTACAAGACCAGATATGATTTGTTTTTCTTATTCACGGTATTTTTCGCTATTTTATTCATGCTGTCATCACTTCAGGCGTGCTGCTCAGTCCGGAGGCCAGACTTCAGCATCCGGTTCAGGAGTCAGGCGGAGGTACGATGGCAGCTTCTTCATCTTACCCCAGGCTGAGTAAGTTCTTCCTCTCCCCTTCCTGTTAACAATGTTGTTTTTGTGAGGTAGGTTTGTTTAGGCAGCTGGAATGACATATTAAGCAGTTCATGAAGAATTTACAAAACTAACTGAGGGAAACTTTACTCCCTTGGATTGCTTTTCCTCCTTCTCTGTTTCTACCTTGGCTTGAGCTTCTCTCTCTTGAAAGCCTAATAGTTAACTCCATTTGGTTTTGGTATTACTTGTAGGATTTTCTGGTGCACTTAGCTGAGTCAGAAAAAGTAAGAATGAGTGGCTTCTCTAGTGGTTAATTTTGACTGCCATTTAGCCAGATATTTTTCCCTTAGCTGCATTGCCTCAATGCATTTTACTCCACAATAGAATAATTAGAAGTAATCAATTTTGGGTAGTCCTTGAAGGAAGTATAATGTATATATTACAGCATGTTGCGCAAGATGTCAGCTCTCTGATTAGGGCCCTACTATGGCCATAATAAATACAAGTTGTCTAGTAGTTGAATTAACTACAGTGCCTCAGTATAGTTAGTATACAAGTAATATATAGGACCTCGATGTATGACTACAATTGAGACAAAAATTATATTGCTAGGTGAAAAATTTGTTAAGTGAGTTTTGTCCCATTTTACAACTTTTCTTGCCACATCTTGTCACTGCAGTTGTTAAGTTAGTAACAGGGTTGTTAAGTAAATCTGGCTTCCCCATTGACTTTGTTTGTCAGAAAGTTGCAAAAGGGGATCACATGACCCCGGGACATTGCAACCGTCATAAATATGAACCAGTTGCCAAGCATCCAAATGTAAATCACATGACCATGGGGATGCTGCAACGGTCATAAGTGTGAAAAACTGTCGTAAGTCCCTTTTTTCAGTGCTGTTGTAACTTCAAAGAGTCACTAAATGAACTGTTGTAAGTTGAGGACTATCTGTATTTACAAAACAGGTTTGACAGCTGCAGTTTTGACCTGGCCAGTCTTGCCTAAGCCAGATCTGGTCTAGTTAGTGGGATGAGAGACCATCAGGGAATGCCAGAGGTCCAGACTAGACTGGGAAGACAAAACAATCCTAAAAGAATGTAATGGCAACCCATTTTTGTACTGTTGCCAAGTAAACTATGAGGACATATCACTGAAGTTATTAAATTAACTGAATTTGAGTTAAAGGTGTCTTTATTTTTACAGATATATTGGCACTAGTAACATTTCACTTTATATTTTCATCTACATAATATTTTATTTCAGTTTGCTTCCTGAATCACTTTTCCTTTTAAACTTATTGTGCAGCTTTATCAATCCTTGTGGATTGTGGTGACATCAAATGGTACTTGATCAATAAATAAGCAAACAGGCATTGCAAATACTATATCAGAAATAATTCTAGAGAAAGTGATCATTTCTCCCTTTTGTTTTAAAGAGTGCTGGATCCTGTGGTGTTGGTGATCAAGGAAGGAGATGAAACAGCACTGCAGAACATGATACAGACAGGAAAAAACCTTGCACAGCCTAACAAAGATGGATGGTTGCCACTCCATGAAGCTGCTTATTATGGACAAGAGGGCTGCTTGAAACTGCTGCATAGATGCAAGTATCAGGAAAGGGGCTGATTGCAGAGAGGATGAAAGACAAAGTCATTTTATGATATAAAGTAACCAATTAGATTGCATTATGACACAGAAGAGTAGCTTGCATGTGCAACCTGTTTTTACATATGCAAATCTTATTTAAACGGTTCCCCCAAATTTGAACATAATGAGTTTGTTATCTGCAAATAATGAAAACGAGTTTTCATAGTTTCATTATTTATTTTTTACTTAGAAACCCATATGGTTACTTATCTTATACAACATAATCCTGGGTAGTTCACAATAATGTTAAATAAAAACAGAATAAATACTGTAAATGATTATCTCATGACAGTCATCTGTCTAATCTGACTGTCTGTCTTTAAAATAACTATAATTTCTTCCATGTTTTCATGGCATTTATTGAAAGATTTGTGTGCAAGCACCTTTCTATCTGACTGTCTGTCTTTAAAATAACTATAATTTCTTCCATGTTTTCATGGCATTTATTGAAAGATTTGTGTGCAAGCACCTTTGATTCAAATCCAGCTTAGTTCATAATTTTAAAAGTCTGTAATACTTTTTCATAAGAAAGCTGTGGACTTAGTACATGAAAAACTTATCTGTTAAATCGTTATACTGATATAAGACAGGATAATGATGATGATGATAATGATGATGATGATGATGAACTCAGGCAGCGGGACTTTCCAAAGCTATTCTACAACGATAATATCTTCCTACAAAAGCAAATCAATACAACACATAACAATTAAGTCCCAAAGATGTTAAAGCATCAGTATATGCTATCTATTAAAGTAGTTTACTATCTCATACAGGTTCTAATAGTAATTGCCATGGGTGAGCTTTTAGCCTTGATCAGTCAGGTGTATTAGATTACAACATTATTTATCTGCTTGGCTATGCTGCCAAGAATAGAGCTGTAGTTCAATACATCTGGAGTACATCAGTTTGGAGAAGGCTAGATAATACTATTAATATTATCTAGATGCACCATATACTTTAATGTTGTTCAATTTTTTCTCAATAGCTTTCCCTGGGACAATTGATCAACGTACACTTCAGGAAGAAACAGCACTCTATTTAGCAACAAACAGAGGGAATATTGATTGCATGCATTCATTGCTTCAGGCTGGAGCAGAACCTGATATTGCAAACAAAGCTAGGGAAACCCCACTTTATAAAGGTATGTAACTTCATTCATGTTCGGTTTTGAACTAGAATGTCCTGGTGTCTTTAGGCCTGGAAATGTTCATAAAATGTTCATAAAGTGTCTTGAAAGCAGGATATGCCAGAGAAATAAAGCGATTCCCATCCTTCTTCCCTCCAATATTCCCCCAACATGCGCTTGAAATTTCAATTTCTGGTTCTTACCTTTCTGGTTATAAAATTGTTTTCAGTCTAAGAAATATATTTGTTCCACTAAAAAAAAAATTCATGGATTTCAAATTATCTTTTTCCCTAAATCTCCCCAGAGAAATAAATAGAAGGTATGTTTATATGCACAGCCTCTCAACATGCAGATTTTCTTTCTTTTGACATGACAGCCTGTGAACGGAAAAATCCTGAAGCTGTGCAGATGCTATTGCAGTACAATGCTGATGTGAACCATCGCTGCAATCGCGGATGGACGGCTCTTCATGAAGCTGTTGCTCGAAATGATTTAGAAATAATAGAACTTTTAATTCAAGGAGGTGCCAAGATTGAATCTGCAAACTGTTATGGAATTACCTCTTTATTTGTAGCAGCTGAAAGTGGCCACTTAGAAGCCTTGAGATACCTGGCGAAATGTGGTAAGTACCAAATGCAGGAAGCCACAACCGAACAGTTGAAGGGATGGTTGTGGTCTGCACATCATTCATTCATTTTTCGTTTGTGCTTTTCTTTAATTGCTATGATTTGTTATTGGTTTTGTTTGAACATTCTTTCAGTAAAACTTGTTGAAATGCTTACCTCAGAATATTTATGTTTATCTTTATTAATAAACTGTATTTCCACAAATAAGAGTATTTATATAAAACATTCATATCTTATAATCAACTCTGGATAGTCCCACTCAGTCATCTAGCAAAGAAAGACTCCTGGGCATTTGTTTTGCCAAGAAAATACTTTACTGAAGCTTAAATGGTTACAGAAGTAGTGTAAGCTGAATCTGAGGTTTTCCCATGCAAACAACACAAAAGAAAGTTCCCTCTCCCCCCCCCCCATCCCCAGCCATCCTCCAGTTATCTGCAAGTATCCAATCAGGTGCTTGTTTATTGTTCAGGAAACAGGTGCTTAGTTTGCAGTTCTGCATATTGTTACTTGACCGTGGCTGGCTGGAGTTTCTCACATGGCTCAGCTGGGCTTCCATTCCCTCCTTTCCTTACATTCCAATCTTTCCCTTCCCTTCCCCCCATCCCCCATTGCTAATGTCAGGCTGTCAGTTCATGAAACTTGGATAGGTGAGAAGCAGCCATGACAATAGTTCCCAATCAAATATTTTGCAAAAAAAATTGCAAACCAGATTAATCACATTTCAATTTTTTATTAATTTATCAAAATATAAAATACAAAGAAAAGTGAAAGTAATGGGAAAGTAAGGGAGGAAAAAGGGAAGAGGAAAAAGTGTAGAGGAAAAGCGGAAAAAGAAAGAAAAGCATTGACTTCTGATTCTTTTTAGCACAGTAGAATAAGGCAATAACATACAGGTTTTGCTTTTACATAATAATATATACTGGCCATTTGTATAACAACAAATCTAATTAATCAGCAAAACCAAAAGTCTAAGTTTCATTTTTTTTCCCACCTCAAGCAAGAAGTCCAGAAGCACTTTCCAAGTAGAAACAAAGCTCTATTTTTTCTTTAATTAAAGCAGCCAAATTAGCCATCTCTGATAACTCCATCAGATTTTGCAGTTCAGTCAGCAATTGTGGGAATTAAAATATATTTCCATTTTTTGCATAGAGCATACTTGTTGCTATCAACAAACCAGATTAATCATTTTGACTCTGTTATCTCAGTTTATAAAGAACTGGGAAATGTTAAGGCTCAGAGTCACCTCCAGATTTTTGTGTTGTCTTGAGTGTATAATATTGATTCCTATCATCAATTTTGCCAAGAATTTAAAAATGAATGTGGGTTCTTTACCTACAGAATAGTGAGAAAATGAATTGCCATTCTAAATCATTGTATATATTTTAAATATATATATGTGAAAGAACTATATTGCATTCCTTAATAATTTTTGCAAGTTTTCATTTACTTATTTATATTTATTATTTTTACAAACAACTCAAGGTGATGAAGTTATCCTTCCTTATATTTTCCCCACAACAACAACCCTATGAGGTAGGCTGAGAGAAATGATTGGCCCAAGATCACCCAGCTGCCTTTCATGCCTAAGGCAGGACTAAAACTCACAGTCTCCAGCTTTCTAGTCAGGTGCCTTAACCACTAGATCATGGCTTTTCAACCAGTGGTACAGGTACCACCTGTGGTACATTGGCACCTGGCAGGTGGTACGCGACCATCCTAGAAAAGTGATAGTGGGGGAGAGGAATGAGCTGAACCGGTGGCAGCACTGCACAAGCCTGAGCAAGAGATGGCTGGAACTGCAGGGCTGTCAGGGCTCAGCAGAAGCGCTAGGATCGGTGTCGCTTTCCAGCTGATTGGCGCTTCTTCAGGACTGTCAGGGCTCAGTGGAAGCGCCAGGATCAGCGCCAGGCTCCGGCTGGAGCTCGGCACCGATCCTGGTGCTTCTGCTGAGCCCTGAAGAAGCACCAATCAGTTGGAAAGCAGCACTGATCCTGGTGCTTCTGCTGAGTCCAGAAGAAGCACCGATCAGCTGGAATGTTGCAGCATCTCCAGGGTCTTGTGATTTACATTCAGATGCTTGGCAACCGATTCATATTTATGACGGTCACAGTGTCCCATGGTCATGTGAAATGACCAAAACCTGCTGCAACCACCCAACAGGGGGGAATAAAAACCAAACACCCCCCCACCCCACCCCCGCTGCCAATCCTCAACAGAAATGCTCACAACAATGAAAACCTCGGACAGGAGGAAGAGCACCGCCAGGTGGGCAGGCAGGTGTCTTGCTCGGCTGTGGCTTGGGGGGCACTTTTTTCAGTGTCATTGTAACTTCGAACAGTCACTAAGAGAACTGTTGTAAGTCGAGGACTACCTGTACTTTATCACTTTTTTCCTTTTTTTTTTGGTCATCAAGTTTTTGACACCTTGGTAGGCGACTGTTGGTACTCGGATGTTGCCATATCCTAAAAGTGGTACAATGGGTGAAAAGGTTGAAAAGACCTGCATTAGATCAAACTGGCTCTTTCAGAAAATGTTGAGACTTTGCCACTTTGTTTCAGTGTTTAATTATATAGTTTTACATTCAATTTTTTTTAGTTTTATTATGTTCAGATTTTAAAATGTAAAATGTATAGAGTACACTTAAATATTTATATTTACTATTATTTCATTTATAAATAGAAACAGAAACAATAGAAATATCAAGAAATATCATTACACCTGTGTAGTATTCCAAGTTTTAAAGGCTCTCTGAGAATCCTAAAATAATTTTATTCACCTTGTAAATGTGCAACATTTGCATAAATTGAATATTCATTTTTTTCTTATTGAAAAATCTAGTGTTGGGCTTTGTAATTGTGTTTCTAGTTACAGGTTTGTTAAGTCTGCCAAATATAACAGAGTTTTCTGTTGTTTGCTTGGCAGAGATTTGTGCAGCTGAATTTTAGGCATGTTTATTTATATGAAACCACCACTCTATTCAAATAGGTTTATTCTCAAAGTGTGTATGTTTCTCTCTCTCTCTCTCTCTCTCTCTCTCTCTCTCTCTCTCTCTCTCTCTCTCTCTCTCTCTCTCTCTCTCTCTCTCTCTGTGTGTGTGTGTGTGTGTGTGTGTGTGTGTGAAAGAGAGAGAGAGAAAGATTTCAAGGCATTGAAATCAAACAGCAGACTAACGTATTCATTTCTTTAGAGTATTTTGTTGTCACCTTTGCAAAAATAATTAAGCTGGTACAGAAGCATTCAAAAGTAATAATTTGTAAGATGAAACATCAAAAAAGTGAAATCCATTAAAATAGCATCCCAACTACTATATAACTTTAAAAAGTAGAGTTTAAAACATGACAATTGTTTTAAGTATTCAGAGTCAAAGGGCATGTTTTTCAATAAAAATCTTACTATCTTTTTAGTAAGAAATTGTAACATCCTAGTTTCAATGAAGCATTAATTATTTCTTTTAATTATGGGATTAGGAAGTTATGGGCTTAATTAAAAAGAGTAACATTCGGCCCAAGAGCTCCTTTCAATCTACTAGCTAGAAAAAACAAAACAAAACCAAACTGGACAGTTTCCAGGACTACATCCTCTTTATCTAATCTAATATTAACCAAATTAAGTCTCAACCAAGTAACTTTATCTGCAAAGAACAAAACTGTCCCAGTCATTTTTTGTCTCCATCTCCTCCACACTTGGCCCAGTCATTCCATTGGCCTCATGGGGATACTCCTAGAAAAAGGACTTCTTGAAACCCTACTCAAAAGAGATCATGCAACCACACCATCTCTTTTGTCGTAACTGATTTTTCTGCTAACCTGAAAAAAGAAGATAAACAGCTGGAAAATACAAGTAGATTATGTTTTACAGTGTGAATTTATTTATTCTATGTGCATTGAATCAAGTTATTGCATGATTTCCACCACTTCACAAGCATAAAGCAGTTGTTGCAAATTTTTATGTTTTCTTTGGAGTAGGAAAGGCATACTGGTAAAGAACTATGTGCTATTATAAATTCCAGCTCTGTTGAGATTATGCTTTACACATCTTTCATTCCCAGGTGCTGATATCAATACCCAAGCTAGTGATAAAGCTTCAGCTCTCTATGAAGCTTCTAAAAATGGACATGAGAAGATTGTGGAATTTCTCTTGACTCAAGGTGCTGATGCTAACAAAACCAATAAGGATGGGTTCTTACCAATTCACATGGCCTCCAAAAAAGGCTATTATGAGTAAGTTGCTTCTTTATTTTTCAGTATGGTAATCAGTTTAAACATATGAAGATTAATTGTGCATAAACTGTAGGTTAAAATAAAAAATCCAGTTATCTTCACCTCAGCAGTTGACACAAAAAAATCATCTAAATAAAAATTAATTAGGATGTCACAGATCATATACAATTTAGAATTCCCAAAATAGCAAGAGAGAGAAAGATATTCAAGTTTATATTTTGAATATATATATCTTTCTCTATCCCATATATGCACTTTTATGAATGAAATTGTGGCTGAAGAGTTATTATGGTTATTTATTGTGAATTAGTAATATAAAAAATAAAGGCAAGAAAAGCTTCTGTTTCCAAGGTTCTTAAAAGCTAAAGTTTCCTTGTGAAGGTACAAGACAAGGAACAGAAAGAAGTAATACTAACAAAAGATGAACCAGTGTAATTGCCTTGACTTTCTAACCATTCATAATATCTTCCTATCTTTTCAATTAATGCGCCCTGCATACCTGTAAATCTGATGTTCTCGAAGAACAACATTGATTTTTGCAGTTCACATACTGAAAACATCTACTCACACCTACTCTTCACCACAGTCATGTTCATGCAATTCAAGGAGAATGAACAGGGAGAAAATCTATTTTTTCCCCTAATACCCTACATAACTGGGGAGATGTACTTCTACTTTTCACATATCAACAAACCACTCCCATCATTCCTAAGTAATGACCATGCTGTGGACAGAAATTCACATTCACAGGTAATGTACCACTGCCAGAGGAGAATTGTTTAAAAATCCTGTTGTCTCTTTAAGAAAAGCAAGTGCAGGATGCAAGGGCTGGGAAACTAAAGAGCAGGGACTTGGAAATGAGGCTGGAATTGTGTTCTGTACTTTTATTCAACAAAATGATGTTACTATTTGAAGCAACTAAAGTCTGTGCAATTCTTTGCAGGTTACTATATAAATATTGAATAAACCCTAATATATTTTGTCAATAACTTGTGTATGAAAATATGATGTTGTATGTGTGTGTGTGTGTGTGTGTGTGTGTGTGTGTGTGAGAGAGAGAGAGAGAGAGAGAGAGAGAGAGAGAGAGAGAGAGGGAGAGAGAGGGAGAGAGGGAGAGGGAGAGGGAGAGAGAGAGAGAGCGCACTCAGCCCTAATCAGTCCACTGGAGGATGAGGTTCTCTTCCTTGAAACCTATCTACCATACCTGTTTATAATCAAACTTTGATTATGTTTGGTTTTAATTTGATTTTTGCCAGGATTGTGAAAATGCTGCTGCCAGTAACAAGTCGTACTCGCATCAAGCGCAGTGGCATCAGCCCTCTGCATTTGGCAGCTGAGCGCAACCATGATGATGTCTTGGAAGAGCTCATTGATGCTGGCTTTGATGTGAATGCCACCCTTTCTTTTGAGCGCTCCCGACTCTATGAGGACAGGCGCACCAGTATCCTGTATTTTGCAGTCTTCAACAACAACGTATATGCCACTGAGCTGCTGCTTGAGGCTGGGGCTGATCCTAATGTTGACCTTATCAATCCATTGCTCATCTCCATCCGCCATGGCTGTTTGAAGACAATGAAACTGCTTCTTGATTATGGAGCTAACATTAATGCCTACGTTGCCTCTCACCCTACAACTTTCCCTGCTACTGTAATGTTTTCAATGAAGTATCTTGCTCTGCTGAAATTTGTGATGGATATGGGCTGTGATGCCAACTCTTGCTTTACGTGTTGTTATGGGTGTGGCCCACATCCTCCTATTGATATTAGGAGGGACAGGTATAGTGATCCTGCAGTGAATAACAATAACAAAATTGTACAGGTAAATTTATTTTTATTATCTCAACTTTTCTATGACATTTAGAGAAATACATGGGAAAACTAGCTCATAGGTAAGCAACATATTTTTTCTTAGAATACTTACAAATTTAAATTCTGGTTTCTCCATCAACCCATCTTATTATCTAGCCCATAGAAATTCAGGGTACTTTGCCTTTGGCGATGTCATCCAGCCTCCAGAAATCAAATTTCTTATTAGCTGCTGGACAGCTGAATTAATCACAACTTTAATATTAAGATACTTTATTTATTTATTTATTTATTTATTTATGAGACTTATATACCGCTTTTAAGTGCAAGCACTCTCTAAGCAGTGTACACCAGTAAGCAATGTATGTACATATTTACATTGCCCCCAACAATCTGGGTCCTCATTTTACCTACCTCGGAAGGATGGAAGGCTGAGTCAACCTTGAGCCGGTGAGATTTGAACCGTTGACCTGCTGAATACAGTCAGCTAAAGTGGCCTGCAGTACTGCACTTTAACTGCTGCGCCACCTTTATGTGAGATGGGCAGCTATATACAGACAGACAGACAGACAGACAGACACATATATGAGGATAACAGGAAGAATAGCATTTGTATAATAAAGGTTTGAGGTCTTCTGTATTTTGTGTTTCCAAGTTTCTCTTTATGCATATCCCATCTCCTATAAACAAGGTTTTGTTTAGCAGAGAAAATAGCAGTTGCTATTCATCCCAGATACTCTAGTCCAGAAGATTATGATTAAAAAAAAAAATAGAGGGTTACTCTCCATTTTCATGTGGCAGATAGATAAACTTAATATAGTCTCCATAATAAAAATTATCAACTTAACTCAGTAATATCTGTGTGTATTTCACACAGAGCAAAATCAGTAAAAAAACAACAATCAATTATCACTGCTAGATACCCAGCATATTAATAACATTTTGTTAGTTTAGAAATAGGTATTTTTGTATTGACACATAGTTAGTTGTTTTATTATTTTTCATCTTTAAGTCTTGTTTCTTTTGTTTTTCTGTAAATTCTGGGATTCCTCTAAGTCTTATGATACTTAATGTCTAATTTTGGTAGAAAGTTTGATACAAAAAGTTAAAGAATAAACATGTTTGTACACTATATTTAGTAAATAGGATGTGACTTTTACTGATATTTTATTTGCCACTAGAGGGCATTTAAATTACTTTATAGAAAGTAACAATTTTTTTCAGTAACATGTTTTTGCATTATTGTTCTCCTTTAAGCTAATAATATTCGACACATCTACAAAATATTTATTTTCCTTTCAGTGCAAATTGGTTGGATGATTAATATGGAAACAATAGTTTCTTTCTCTGGGTGATGCTAGCATGTTGGAAAGCATATCATATTGATATATGAACAGTCATATTTAACAAAAAATGATCCTTTATAGTCTTGCATTAGATGCTGTTATGCACACATAATACATAGCTAAAATAATATACAATTCAGCAAAAAATAAATACTGCTTAATATTTTGGCAGTGATTTACTCTCTAAACTTGTTTCAATTTAGTTTCTGAATGTTTCATTACCAGACTAGGTGACATTATCAGCAGGATTTTCTTGTCCCATTTTCCTTAGCTTAAAAATGTCTTGTGTGCCAATGTGGTCGGTTGGTCATCTGATTGGTTTTTTGTTTGGAGCTATATTTAAATTCTGAGCAGCTGATTGGTTCTCTTGTTGATTGGTAGTTCGAATGGTCTGGTTTATTACATATTCATATGCTGGATCTAGATCAATATGTTTGTTAACTGCTCCTTTGGTAGAATACCAGACTTCAATAAATTCATGTGTAGAAAAAGAACTGTAACCATCTGCAAGAGCCCAATAAGGACTATATCTTAATTATGATCTATAGTGCTCCAGAACAAGATAGCAGAATTCCCAAATGGGACAACCATTGTGCCAACTTACCATGGGACACTTTGCCCTAGAACAACTTGCTGCAGAACAATTGCACATGAGACAACTCAACGCGATAAATAGTATCTGCCACTGTTTCTTCAATATTATTTCCATTGACAAAAATGGAAATAACATAGAACAGGGGTCTTCAAACTTGGCCCTTTTATGACTTGTGGACTTCAACTCCCAGTATTCCTTAGCCAGCATGCCTGGCTGAGGAATTCTGGGAGTTGAAGTCCACAAGTCATAAAAAGGCCAAGTTTGAAGACCCTTGACATAGAAGAAACAGTGATGGATAATATTTATCGCACTGAGTTATCCCATGTGGATTGTCCCATGGTTAAGTTGGCCATGGTAAGTTGGCCATGGCGAGATGACCATGGCCAACTTACCAGACCTAGACTGACAGAATTTTATACTAAATAGCTTCCAGATTGCAGGCAGTCTTATTTTTGAATGCCAAGTATAAACTTTCCTTCCCATATATAATAAACAATAGATGGATTTTTATGCAGAAAAGAATCCAAAACACACTTTCCAATCCTAAATGGTAACATTAAATATTCTGTTTTTTCCATTTCCTTTTGTGTATCTATCTTGGTGTCTCTATGTTGATTTATATAGGAATCAATAGATTTTAGCTTTTCCTGCAGAATGGTCATCTATGCTGTAGCATTTCCTCTTCTGAGTTTTTTTTTAAAAATCTCCCACCTTTCTGTTGTGATGAAATAAATCAGTGATTAATGCTATTTTTTCCAAAGTAATAATAAAGAAATGACTTTCAAGGACAATAAACAGGCTATAAATATGAATTCAGACACATATCATATTAATAAAGATAAACACTTCTTTGATTCATCTTTATTTAGTTACAAATATATTTCATTCCAATATTTTTTTTTTTTAAAAAAGGTATAAATATATTAAGGAATACACATAGCCTGAAATTCTTTCATTTGGAATGTCAATCCAAAAAACATGTTTTTCACTGGATCCATTCAACTAAACCATTCTAAACATTTTGGAGAAAAACAAAAACGTGTATCTAGATTTAGACACAATTAGTGCACATTTACACAGAAGAGCCTAGTGTTATCATGCCCCTGAGACCCATTTGGCCCTGATTCAGTCAGCAGTCTAGAAAGTCTTACAAACATGGCTGTTTCTGGGCATGAGAATTAGGAAGTTAAGGTGTCCAGTGAGATGGAAATTGTTATAGTGCTCATTGTTGCCCTTGGTGCCATTCTGTGTATATATTCTCTGTATTTTTATATTTATCATTATTGGCTTCTGGGGGTATTGTTCTTGTTTTGTTTCTATTGGGTTTTAGTTTGATTAGCTACCCAAAGTTGCTCTTGCAGGATGGGCAGCCATAGTAATTGATTAAATAAATAAATGTTACATTTTTAGACTTTTTAAAATGTGTAACATAGTAGAAATGAGGTAATCCCTCATTTGACATAAGACAACAAATGCTAATACAAATTCCCTTCTCATCCCTATGAGTGATATACTGTATGTCTTTCTCAATCTCGGTCCTTCAACTGAGACTGTGAGTTTGAGGGTTGTGTGCAGCTTCGTAGCTGCTCCTAACACTACATTCTTCTGGACAGAGAGTTCTGATGTTGTTCCTGGGATCTGTTGGAGCCACTCTCCCAGCTTAGGAGGCACAACGCCGAGAGATCCAACAACCACTGAAATCGCTTTGGCCTTTACTTTCCACATCCTCTCTAGTTCCTCTTTTAGGCCCTTCTCCTAGGAGTATATAAATTCTATATTAGAATTTAATTCATTGACGCTACTAGCACATATCTTGAGAAAATAAATTGTATCTGTGAAATAATTACACTTGAAACTGTTCTATACTGTTACATCTTGTATTTTCTTATGCCTTTTGATTATTTACAGCATTGATTTTATATAATTTATTCTTCCCCACCCACCCCAGTTTTGTGAAATGGTTTCAACCCCAGAGATGAGTCGTTGGGCAGGCCCTATTATAGATGTTCTTTTGGATTATGTGGGAAATGTGCAACTTTGTTCCCGGTTGAAGGAACACATTGACAGTTATGAAGATTGGTCCAATATTAAAGTCAAAGCAGGTTAGTTACGATATGGGCTTGCACGTCTATTATTCAAGAATCAAATACACCAGTAATATTTTGTAATGCAACTGTTACTACTAAATGCAATGGCACTCTTGCATGCAAATAAGTGCCAACTTATGAAAGTTTCTATATAAGAAAAAAATATTCAAGCAATGTTGAGTGTTAGCTCAATGACTCACAAGAACACCATTATATGTTATAATCTGATTGTATCTGAGATACCACCTAATGATTACTTGTTCAAATTACTTTATTAAAATATGGGTATGGGTGTTTCATCAATGGATGTTTTTAAGAAAAGATGGGACAACCATTTGTCTGAAATGGTGCAGGGTCTTCTGCTTGAGCAGGGGGTTGGACCAGAAGACCTCCAAGGTCCCTTCCAACTCTGCTATTCTGTTTATCTGTTGTTAAGTCCTGAATATTATGTTACTAAATTGAGATATGTACACATTCTAACCATTTAAATTTAGTTATTTTATCTAAAAAGTCCCTAGTTTTTTAAAGTATGTTTGTGGCACAGTACCTTTGAAATATATACGCAAGTTTTTATGAAAAAAATGTTAGCTCATAGAGAACTATTTTAGGCCAAAAGTAGTATAAATATAACATGCTACATGCTTGCTTACTTGTTTACTTATATACCTGACAATATTGTTTCATTTCCAGAGCCACCAAGGCCACTTGCACACCTTTGTCGAATCAAAATTCGAATTGTGATTGGGAAAAACCGTCTTTCACTTATTGAGGCTTTACCTCTGCCAAGAAGACTAATTCGCTATTTACAATATGATTTTACCCAGTGATCTCAGGTGAACCTGACATTCAAATATTATATGGAATGACAATCATATGTATTATAGGGCAAGCTGTCATGATGGAAACAGACTGATATGATGGAACAGAAAACTTGTTTTGGTATGTAAGAAGAAAAAAATAAGGATTCCTACAAGTTAAATCTCAGAACAAATGCAACAGCATTTAGGGTATGGGAAATAGCTGAAAAAATGAGAACAAAGCAGTCAGCAAATAGTGAAGGGGATATTATGCTATCTTGCAAGGAAAAACACTCTCAGTAGCTCAACATTTAGTACAACCCTTTACAAAATGCAGGCAGAGTAAAATGTAGATTGTATTCTACCAATAAATATTCAGGTGATCTGCATGTCACCAAGAACTTCCAATTCTCACTGGTTTAATAATGATGACAGAAAACCTTTTTTCCTCCTTAATTAAACTGTTAAATAAATGTTTAAAAGCTTGGAAGAAAATAGGAGGTTTTTATGATGTGAAAGAACATATGCACAAACTCCAGTTCTACTACCAAAAAGAAATTCCTGATCTGGGCATGTGTCCAGTAGTTCTAAATCTGCCTTCTTGAGCTGTTACTTTGTACTTGATTCTGGTTGATGGACCTCACAGTTCTAGTGAAAAATAAACATGCATATTGTAAGCCTAAATTATTCATAACAAGATATAAGGAGGAGGTAGCAAAAGTTATGTCTCTCCATTTAGGTAAATACAATGAATTATGCAGACGATCACACTATAATCATTCATAGTGACATCAATCAGGCTTTTTTTTCATTTTCAGCAATTATAAATATTGCTGCCAACTGTATGCTGGATTTTGTGTCTGTTGACATATCTGATCATTGTGTTAACACGCATTAGCAAGTTTACTCATTCATAGGGATAACAAACGTATTTTGTCAATAGTCATGTAGCAAAACCATCTTGATTCAATGCAAAGATTAAAAGAAGCCCAATAATTGTGAAATCAGAATAACATTTCAGTTTTGGGGTTGTATTTTATTTTACTTCAGTTTGCTGAATTTACCCAATGTTTGGCTGTTCTATTCTACATCACCATAGTTTCATGTTTTCCCATATAGTTTAACATTTAGCCTTTTATTCTTATTTAGAAAAACATTTAACATTACTTTCTTGTTCCTGGTTAAACAATTTTGCAAATACTGGACTTGAAGAAATGAAAGATATCAAAGAATTTAACTTACAGGAAATAAGAACACAACATTTAACTCAGATGTATAGATCTGTATAATATTTTTTAGATATATGTACATACATTAGTTATGAGGATTAATGTCACTGAAACCCATGGTATTTAACACTGTTTTAACAGCATTGAAGGGGAGAATAGATTCAAATCCTATGTTGCTTCAGAAAGACTTCAGGAGAAAATTCTTGATCTGCTATTGATGAAAAACAATAATAGTGAATTGCATCACTGCAAAACCACTAGGTTAATTTCAGAATAAATAATTTAGCTTAACAGGGTTATGAACTGAAAACCCTATTGCATAATTAGATTATGTCTAATTGGCTTTCATTAGAATAATTTTAATGACCAATATGTAAGCAATGACTTAGCAACACTATGGTGTTTTTTTTAATGAAACTCTGATTTGGTGTCATTGTATACTTTTAGGGAAATAATTTAGTGGCATTAAGTTATTAGAAGAAAATTTTATCCTCATGGATGTTATGTTGTAGATATCTTAACTTACATCCTCTTATCAGTTAATACTTCCATGAGAAAGGATTCACCTTTCTAATTCAGATCATATATATGGGTCCCTGAAGTATATATAAAAAGTGCTTCAATTGATATAATTCATGTTTGCTTCATAAATATGATAACTAAGAAGCTTAATGATACTGCATCTAAATTAATTCAAACAGATTTAAACTAAGATCATTATATGCATTTCAAGAGTGCTTTGCAGAAATATCTGAAATAAACTGTAGGACACCATGGAGATATAACTGGCTTAATATTCACAATATTGCAGTTCCATGATTAACTTTTACATATATATATATATACAAATGAGGTCGCAGTTGGCGATTGCTGCCTGTGGATGGCTCTAGATTGAGCTGATACAGACAAAAGAAAAAGAAAGAAAGAAAGAAAGAAAGAAAGAAAGAAAGAAAGAAAGAGAGAAAGAAAGAGAGAAAGAAAGATTTCTTTCTCCCATATTTGGGCCGACAGGATGCATCAAAAAACACTCAAGGTAAATCTCCTCCCCTTGTCTCTTCTCTCTCTGATACAGTGATATATATATATATATATATATATATATATATATATATATATATATATATATATATAATCACTTTAATATGACATGTTTGAGGATAGCACCAATTCATAAAAATATACAAGCTGAAAAAGCTAGTTGATTCACTCTTTTTAGGGATATGTTCACATATCACATATCCAAGAAGTATTAAAAAGGCTTCCTAGTTTTTTACAGAGATAAATTGTCAATTTCAATTCCTCACTCTCATAACCAGGATTAACTCCAATGGACGCCATAAAATGAGGAGGAAATTATCATTAAAAGTCCCTTTGAGAGTTGTCCTTTTCATTTCATTATTTCTTGCTATTTTTTAAAAAAAATACTTTACATTTATTTGCACATTCTGCATGCTACCTCTCTTAATCACTCTTAATCCAGCAATACATAGTTGCACAAAAAGATTTTCAAGAAATCTGCTGGGCTGGGTTTACAAAGGTGTATTAGCTGAGTAATGCCTTAACACTGGTTTAACATATGTAAAATAATATGAATTCTTTACTCAATTTTCTATATACTGGTCTGCTTCAGGGCAATACAAGTATAATGGTGGATACGCTTTCTACTGCTCCAGTGATTTTGTGATTTAAAAAAAAAATCCACCAGTTTTATCAAATCTGTTCAAATTATGTTGTTTTATACAAGTACAAAATATTATTGTAAATCTTAAAGTTAAGAATATTTAGAACTTTAAAATAAGCTTCACAGTTCCATGCTTTATCTAACCGTGTTGAAGACAGAAAGAACCTGTTATTATGTTCTATATCATATACAAAGAACATTTTAAGATTTTTGTAAACTATTCTATTAACACGAGGGATAACTATGACTTGGGTGACTGAGAATCTCCATAGACATTTATTCTATTAACATTATCCTGTTTGATCTATTATTTTATAAATGTGTGTATAAACTATATTACAATGTATTTTTGAGATTTTTGTTATTTAACAGTAGTTTTTTTTAATAAACTGGAGATCAGTCTGGGAGGGATCAGTGTGCCAATATTTTAAAAGCACTGCGTTTTTAGGTGTTGTTGTTTGCATTAAATTTGAGTAAAATTAATTGCACTGCATTTTTACTTTTAAGACATTTCTGAAAGGAGTACACACACTACATATATGTTAAATGAAATAAATATAGAAGGAGAGGGAGGGTCTAGATAATCCTGGCCTGTAAAATGTTTAACACAATATAATCTATCAGACTCCTGCAATGGAAACTGCATTTCCAGGTACATTTGGCTACCATGTTTCTCTAACTCTAATTTATAAATATAAGTTCAATTTATTTGATATTGTGTAAATGTTATGTGTTCATAAAGCGTGACATTGGTTGTCTTCTCTAATGATCTTATAAAACATTGTGCTTGCAGAACTTACTCTTCTATCACCGCGAGTAAGAAAGTTCCTTGAGTAAACAAGGACGTTGAAATAAGAACAGGTTTATATAAATTCCTCTGCTCACTAATACTTGATGGACCAAATAATATTTCAGATGATGTAGTATATTTAAGCAGACATCAGATGCCAGAATCCCAACCAATGACATAGTATGGAACATGTCTCCTGAGATATCTCTTCCATTTTCCACACCCAACACAGAACATGGCACTGAAATTCAAGCCTTCATAAGTTCTGTTTTTACCAGTATATGTGCCCACGTTAAAAGCCTGAAAAAGTGATCTTTTTCCAGTTAATTAAAATGTTATTGTCTAGTCCCATAGTGTTATTTTCACTTATCACAAATGACCAAGAGAGACAGTTTAAACCATACATTTGCAAAAAGGGCACAAAGAAACATTTAAGAGATTAGTATCTTGACAATTGTTTTCATTTTAAAATTTTTTGGAGGCATATTATTTGATACATGTGCAGTCATAGAGGGAGACCATTGAAAGTATAGGTCTTTGCAAATAGAACAGCACAAACCTATGTAGGGGAGAATTTCTTGCGAACAGAACATCTAATGATGAAATGACTTGTTAAAATCACACCACAGCTGTTCTTATTCTATATAGTAAGTACAGCATATGGAGTATAATTTTTTATACTTAGGTTTGAACTCATGAAATACACATGCACACTACAGCACTCCTCATTTAGTGACTGCCTCATACAGTGACTGTGGTTACAACAGTGATAAAAAGTAATTTTGCAATCAGTCCCCATGTTTATGAGCATCCTAGATCTACAGTATAAAGCAAAGGAAGCTGAAGTAAAATCTTAAGGACAATCACAATTTCAGTTAGCAATCTCTTTGCATACAGCCAAATTGCTAGTCCCTATTGTACTTGCTAAACAAGGATTAGTGGTGCTGGCACAGTGGTTAGAATGCAGTGCTGTAATTCTGCCGACTGCCAGCAGTTTGGCAGTTCGATTCTCACCAGCTCGATTCTCAGCCTTCCATCCTTCCAAGGTCAGTAAAATGAGGACCCAGATTGCTGGGGGCAATATGCTGACTCTGTAAATCACTTGGAGCAGAGCCCGCAACCTTTTGGGCCCCAGGGACTGGTCCTGTGGAGAGAGGTTTTTCTGTGGACCAGTAGGGCTTCATATGCTGCCTGCATCCCACAGATGAGGCTTCACTTTTTTGCATAGCCTGGTTTCTGTAAAGCCATGGACCAGTAAAGCACTGTGAAGCAGTATATAAGTCCAAGTGCTATTGCTATTGCTACTTATATATGCTCTGATTTATACTTGGTTTGCCACAATCTGCAAAATATAATAAACTAAAGTGTAGTTATTCTTAAATAGTTCCTTGAAAGAGTAAGAAAAATTTCTTATGGATAAATCTAAATTTTTCAATTGCAACATTATTCCAATGGGAAAATTCTGGAGTGTAGCAAATATACACAAGCATTAAAGAAATTAATCCTGACATAATCAAGTTGCTAAAAAAGAGAATTTTGAAAAGTTGAAACATTGGAAATTTATGCTGAGAAATAAACATGAAAAACAGGGATACTGTATAAATGGTAGCTATTTTCCCTAAAAGTTATTCCATATTCATGAAATGAACAACTCAGTTGGGGAAATAATCAGAATACAGATCACGCAACGGTGGGATTCAGCCAGTTTGCACCACTTCGGCAGAACCAGTAGTTAATTTTTTGTTGCCCAGGCCCAGAAGTGGCATTCATACAGAGAACCAGTTGCTCACATATTTAAATCCCACCACTGAAATCAAGGTATTACATGCCTTCAACTGTTGTGCAATGGGACTATTAAAATTACAAAAAAAATGCTAGATCAGTGGTTCTCAACCTTTTTAATGCCGCGACCCCAACCGGTTGTAAGTCGAGGACTTTCCCTGCCCGGGAGCGCCGCGCATGCGTGGTGCCGCCCCC